GCCTTGCTTTCCCAAAAGTTGTTTTCATCCGGGGTGGACTGCAGTTTCAACACCCTCAGCGGGAGTCGAATCACGACAGTGCAGGATGGGAGCTTGACACACAAACCACTCGCTAACCATGCTAACCAATACATCTCATATTACTGATTTACTGGTAGTCATGAAAACAATACTGAATTCAAAAAATAAAAATACTATTATCGAGTTGAGTAAGATTTTGAGTTCTACTGGTAGTCTCGAAATTATACTCTATCAGAATACAAATAAGGTTGTCGACTGCAATTGCATTGCACGGTCTATTTTAACGCAAAATGAAACTTTCTAGTCAATTCATCGTGATCAGAGTCTCTCTGACTTATGTATCACTACCATACAAAACGGGTGCATATTGAGAATGCATAGGGAGTTACGTCAATAATAGATAGAAATCGGCAATTGAATGATCATTCTTTAGAACGTTGAATACTTAGATAATTAGATAATCATGTTGATTAGTGAGTGTTCAGAAACAATAGCATTTAAGTCAAGGTATGAAGACCAAGATGGTGTGGCCTTTTGTGTGGTCGCGGTCTGATTTCGTTGTGTAGTAGTTGCATGACCTTGTCTTCACAACTTGGTCCTATTGTCAGGAAGACCCAGAGAAATATTCCTTGTCCTGAGTCAATTGTATGCTTCGAGAGTTTACAAAGTACACGGTCCGACTGAAAATTATCATGCAAGCTATGAACTCCGGACTAGGTGCGTTTCTCCAGGTCTTCATGCCAATATGACCAAGTTGCGAAACCAAGGTCAAACAACTAAATGACATTTAAGATAGTAAAAATATAAAGTTACGCATTCTATCTAAGAGGATTGGTTAGGGAATTAGAATTTATATAAAAGCGGATCCAATGAGCATCCACGGTAAATTATTCATCACCTCTGGTTAGGAAGATGACCATGGTAAATAGTAAACTTTCTGTTTCAACTGCAGAAAACATGACTGCCAAAATTGCTTTTGTGAACAAGGAATGATAGGTTCCACTAAATTCATTTAAGACCTATAGTGAGCCAGTCCATGATGAAATGAAGAAAATGCCCAGGTTTTAATTGAATTTCGCTTTGCCACAAATCTCAAAGGATCATTATGCCACAGGCTGGAATGGAAGTTCACACTGGAAGAGGTCTCATTAGCACCCTGAGG